ATATATATAATATAAATAGACAATATTATATGAGCCAGATGGTACATCAGTCCAGATCCTTTTCTCAGGAAACAAGCAACAAATGTCTCAAGTGTGTGAAGGGCATGGATTGAGTGTCAGGGAGCTGCCTGTACGACATGATTATGAAAAAGCAAAAGTAATCCTGAGATACATTGGGAAGGTCTTCTAGCAGAGAGGAAACCACTGATGTGTTTGTGGGGAGGCCTGGAGCACTGCGTGGTTCTAGGTGTCTCTGTTCAAGGACGGCAACTCCAAACTGATGAGCCAGAGGAGGACTGCAAGGCTGCCTGTTGCCTTGATCATCCTCTTCAGAGAAGGATAAGAGTTTGGCTTCAGCCTGACGCTCAGTGGACATCTGATAGCACTCTGAGTGCACTGAGGAGAGGGGAAGGTCCTGAAGCTGAAGAGCTCATTGTTGGCACAAATGGACATATTCTTAGTAAATAGAAGCTGAAAAATCTCAGAACCTCATTCCTTTGCTTAGAGGTTTTCTTGAAGCAGATCAATGAAACAACAGGCAGCAGATGGACCAAGGCCTACCCTTCTGACACTCCTGTATCAGCCCATCCAGTCCCCTGCAGAACTGGAGGTTGGATGGGCTGATACAGGAGTGCTTTCCTGGGCTACCTAGGGCGTCCCAAATCTTCTTGTGACACATTGAATGAACAGTCGTGTTCCAGTCCTTGGAAAAAGCCAAGAACAAAAAGCCATCAGAGTTTCCAAATACTGTTGAGATGTGTTCAGCCAAGATGTTGAGTACTACATGGAACCAAGGAATGGGCTACACTCATCACCTTACAGAGGTTAATGAGAGGTTGATGTATAGGCTGCTGTAGGAGTTTGCATGTTTATTTTCCCTTTCAGCAAAATAATTTAATTTTGAAGAAGGTCTTGTGCATTCGCCATCACCACTTTGTTTTCATTCATCGTTACTTTTTCATTCTTCCTCATGTGTGTGTTGTTTTTTCTTTTGTAGAACAGTTCGTGTTTGGCTGAAGAGAGAGAGTGGGCAGTACTGGCCCAGCATATACCATGCAATGCCATGTAAGTATAAGGAGATGTTTGTGAACTACTGTGTATTTGCAAAATGGCTTTTCTGGTTTTGATGAAGCTTCATGTTTATGACCATTTGCAAGCTTACCACTTTGTATTAAATATTATTCTTGAACAACCCTCTTGGTTTCTGTGAAGCTTTACCAAGTTGCATGCTAATGCTTCTGAGAGGCATCGGGGATTACAGCAGCAAAAGGATACAGCTATGCTAGCAAGGGATGAGCATTTAATGCAAATATAGATTTAAAAATGTGGAGCAAAAAATGTAGTCTTGCATTCTGCCACTAATGGAGTCCATAAAGCTTTGTAAGTCTCCAGTATAAATCACTCTGCCCTCTCTACTGCATGTGCTCAGTCCATTAGAGTGCAATGGTAAATTTTTTTTTTTAATAAGAATTTAATATCCTGCAGCAACTAATATGATAGAGAGGATACTAGACAGGGAAGGCAGCTCTTCCAGTGAAGGAGCAGAATAATTTTACCCCTGCAATTAAATGTGGAAAACCAAGTCTCCCTGATGGATCCCTCCAGTATGATCTGCTGTATGTCTCCTCTCCCAGAGAGAGTGTTGGTACTTTAAAAGAAACTGCAGATCAATGTCCATTTTTCCAAGAGACAGTTGAAGAAATCACCACCCTAGCTGTTTGTCATAACCTTTATGTTGAGTTCAAGAGTATAACTCTGCAGGTCACCAGCAGCAGGGGTATGCTGACCTTATGAAGCTGACCTTAAATCCACAGGTTGGGGAGCATTTATCCAGTCCCATTGAGGTATTATTGCTGTCTGGGGAAAGAATGATTTTAAGCTAAGATAGCTAGATTTGGAAGAGACATCTGTCTCCATGATATGTAAAATATTTAATAGATGTAAGTTTTAGTACCACAACATCAACTTGGGACCCTAGAGTGGCCATGGTGTTTGACTGCCTGCAATAAGAAACCGTTCATTTAGTAGAGAGGAGGATCTCTTCTCCCTTTGGTGGTGGACTAGGTTATAAGAGTATGTCAAGCCTCAGAGGTACTTTCTGCTCAAGATTTTGCCCAAAAAGGTATTGGAAACCAGCTGATGATGTGGCAGTCTGTGGAGCTTTGTCACAGCCACTAGCAGTGGCCTGAGTTCCCTTGATCCATCCTAAGAGGTTTGCTTTCCTCAGTCAAACTGTTATGAAATGGCTATTCTAGCAGTTTGGCATTGATACTTCTCTTTTTCCATGTGGTGTTTTTGCATACATTTGCATTTTAAAAACTTGTTAGGTCCTCCTCTGGTCTTAGCAAGGCTGCATTATTGGCAGTAATAACAGCTTCACTGGAAATGATGGAGTAGCTCTAGATCCACTCAAAGGGGACTATTTTTAAAGCTCCTTCATAAATTTGAACACCTGACTCTGCTCCTTCACTTGGAAGGCTGGTAAGCTTTTGAGCCATGAGATATTAAGATTATGCTGTGTTATTCACCAATTTCAAGAATGATCAGATATAATTAATGACTGGAGCAATGCCAATTACATTGTTACCAGCCAGGCTTTAAGCTTGGCAATCGTAGGAAGGGCTCTGAGTCAGCCTCTGCACAAGTCTGCACTTGACTGGAAATGATCATTTTGTCTGTTTCTGTGTGGACCACCTTTTTGATGGTCCTCTGCTTTAGGTTCATACTGGTTTTTGTTGTTCAGAAAACAACTGCCCGGAGGTTCTCTGTGTAAAACTGTAGTAGGCATGATGTGTGCCTACTACACAAGTAGGCCTTTTGTGATGCTTAGCAAGATGTGAGTGGCAGTCCCACCTGTAGATAACCCTGTTAGCATGACTCATGACCTTGGTTACTGTGGTGCATGACCTATACCATTTTATGATTTGGTATCAGGTAGCCTTAATAACTGAGTTTGCACCCTGGGTACTCTGGGAGATGAGGAGGATGAGGAGCTGGGCCAAGTCAGCCATGTGCTTTGGTCAAGCTCTGCACCCAAATGGGGACATCAGTGCATTCTGAATGTGAAACGCATTCAATACCTGAAAAAAAATCAACATTGTAGATCCCTTCTGAGTAGGGACAGTTGCTGCTGTTTGGAGGTGGAATTTCCCCAATTACGAAGTTTTATGCCCTGCCTATGGGTGTTTCTGGGGTTGAAAAATTCTGGACAACGTGGTGGCCACATTTGATCATCTCCTTTAGCCCATGAGAAAGAGCGAGCTGTGGGTGTTATACACATTATAGCGTCAGTAAGGCAAACTGGGTAAGCTGGAAATGTGGGTAACATGTCTCCTTCATGCTAGTGCTGTCTCAGCAACTGTATTAACAGACCTCTGAGGAGCATGATAACCCTCCTCATGCTTAGATGTGAACCCTTGGTTACACGTGTCATACAGGTTATAGATGTGTGACCATGGTTAGATGTGTGACTTTTGGGCCATGTCTGTACAGGAGAAAAAAAAAAACAACTTAGTAGATGTAAATTTATGAAAAGGAATGGAATTGTAGTCAAGAGAAGTAAGATTTGCCAAAAAAGAAAAAAGAAAAAAAAGAAAGAAAGAAAAACAAACCACAAAAAAAAACACCCACCCCCGAAAACCCAACAAAAAACACCCAAAAAGACCCAAACCCAACCAAACAAAAACCTCTCACAGATGTGGAATGGAGTAAAGGATTTATTGTAGTGAGGAACAGTGGAATATCCAGTCTTTGAGGCAGATAATACACTGTCTGTCTTACAATGGTTTCCATAGCTAATACTGCTTTGAACAGGAAGGTAAAAAAACTGCAAAGCAAAACATGTTCCTTCGGTCTTAAACTATGCCACCTTTAAGTACTTCAGAGGGAGGTGCCTGAAACTGCAGGTACAAAGTTTGTATTTCTTTTCTACTTTCTGTCAGCTTCTAACAGAGGTGACACAATGTTGAGAGCATGAAGTATGTAATTGGGCTTTTCCTCTATAATTCGTTTTCCAAAGGCTAAAAGCAATGTGTATTTGCCCTGTATTTAAGATAAAGACTACAGCCAGACTTCTGTAAGAAGAATATCTTGCCTGTCCTCTGTTGTAGTTCAGATCAATCTTTGCAGTCTGAAATCCAGACATACCTAGGTACTGAAGTAGAGGGCCTTCAGAGTGCTGTTATTTTTCCTGGCTGTTATTTTAAAAGGATCTTAAACATATTGGAAGCTTAAGGTTTGGGGTTTTTTGTTTTTTTCTTTGGTTTTGTTTTTGGTTTTTTTCATTTTTTTTTCTTCCCTTCTTAATGAGCCTAAGTGCTGAAGTATCTGAATGTCATCTTATTTTTACTAAAACCATAAGCTACTGCAGTCTTGTTACAACTGGCATCACTTTAACTACATTAGTGTAGCTAGTGTGGACATAAATTTAGTCCTGACATAATGATTTTTCCAAGAGCACATGTTACTGAAGAATTTCCTTACCAAAACGATTATAGCAAAATAAGTATCTTTACACTGCTATGACTGTGTACACACGTCTGGAATTTAGAAGTGACTTTTGTAATACAGCCTGTGTTAAGCAGTTGCTTGCACCATTTGTGTCTGAAGTGTTTCAGGCTGTTTGGGAACAGCATACTTCAAATAGCTAATTTACCTGAGGCTTTTTCTCTGTGAGCTGTTTATTGCCATCAGAGTTACTAGTAGCTCTTTCAAGGTATGCACAGTGTCTAGCGTTTGAAAGCTGATATGTAGAATATGCCCATTCTGGCATTAAGTGCCTTTAAAAGGATTTGATGTTTCTTCTGCTTAGTTCCGTTGGTTTTTTTTTTTTTCCCCTATCTGTTTTTCCTGCAGCTGTCTCATTTTGCTACAACCCTAGAAGCCTCAGTATAATAGTAATGCACCACCATCCAAAGGGAAGATTCGAGTTTGCCTTTGCTCCTTCCTGTACCTCTCTCTGTGAAATGTTGTCACTGCTAGTAGCCCTAATTTAAGTGTTTCCCTTCTGGCAGTTTCCTTGAACTGAAGCCTTTTCTTTGATTTAGTTCAGTTAGCCCTCCCAGGAAGGAAATAAATCAAGGTGCCTGCCTGGATGTGGATGTGGTAGGCATTCTGCTTGGGGCTTGTTGTCCTTTAGGAAATGTTTCAAGGAGGAGACAATACTGAAGGTAGAACAAGTTTGTTAAACAGTCAACATAGACTCTCCTTTTCTTCATATAGCTTTGCTGCCAACTAAACTATCAAGGAAGATTTGCTGAGCTATGGACTGTTTAATCCTAGGTGAGACATTACACAAATTGAGAATATACCAGATATACAGTACTGCAAAAGAAGAGGGCTCCAAGCTTGTTAGGAACAAAAACACTGCAAGTAATCACAGTGGAGAGTAGAAACCCAGAGGGGGGAAAAAAGCAGAACTAAAAGCACATCTGACTGTACTCTGTCTTTATCACAAGAATATGGCTTAAAAAACGCCCTTATCACTGTCGAAGGCGAGAGCATGCCGGCCCTTAGCCGCAGTTGGCAATTGCCGCTGAAAAATGATTCCTGAAGGTTTCTGTTGGGACAGCAGGACTCCCAGCTGCATGCTGCTGTGTTGAGCAGTAAAAACAATCCCTGCCTCCTTAATGCAACTTTGCAATTTCTCAATTAAACCAAGCATAGCTCTTGAATTCTTGCAAGAAAATCCTGGTTTTACCCTTGATGCAAACCCTCTGGATGATCCCCTAGGCAGTGTAGTATGACTGACTTGTGTGCAATTTAAGTGTACATGCTGATGTTTGTTAGAGTAATATTGACATAATAAAACAATGGCTAGTTTTCAATACAATTTTTTATTTTGGCCATAGTATGTGATACTGTCATAGCATTATCTGTGGTGAAACTAGAATAGAGGACAGGTGGACTCACAGTCCTTAATATTGGCTGATATGTTGATTCCTACAGGTTAACTTTCTTACTGCAGGTATAGGATGCAAGCCTTTGACATAATAGAGTGTTTTATTTTCACTAAAGTTCAGGCAAATGTAAAAAACTGAATTATTCAGCTAAGTAATCTCTCAGATTTATACTGAAATGTCAGTGCCTCCTATATCAGAACACCACCACTTCTCTTTTATGACATGCCTGTTTTCAGATAACTAGTAAGAGAAAATGAAGGAGCTGGAGCAAGAAATAGCTGTTGTTCCATGTCCTAATAGGATAGGGTTGAATGAAATGCAAGAACACTTTTCGTTTTTAATGCTGGTCTTATTGGAAGGGGCAAAATGCTGAACAGCATCATAAAGAATGTTCGTTTGTTTAGGCTTTCCAAAACTTCAAGAAAATGAGAATCGCAGTTTTGTTAACTTCATCAACATGTTCATTTTTTTCAGCTCCATGTTCATGCATGTCTTTTAACCCGGAAACCAGAAGGCTGTCCATAGGTCTAGACAATGGTACAATCTCAGTAAGTACATCCAAAGATTTCTAGTTGAAATGCTTCCCTTTTGAGAAGTATATGTGTGATGTTGTGGTGAGGATATTTTTGTCAGTGTTTGGGAGAAAGACTTTCTACTGCTAGTGAAACTGAAGCTGTAGTGTAGAAAATGGCAAATTATTACAAATTTCATCCCAACAGCTACAGAGAGATTGAGTGGGGTTTATAATATTTATTAGGCAACTCAACTAACTGTCTTAATTTGCATATCTCTTAAAAATAACAATACAGAAAAACAGCTGTTGTTTTATTAAATTTGAGTGTCTTGTTAATCATACCATACCAAAGTTTTCTGAAAGCAGCAATTAAGAAGGGAAAAATCATCTTGAGATGCAGAAGGTGGATTTCTGTTCCATATTTATCTGCTTTCACAAACTTTGGGATTCAGATTTTGTTTTCCTCTCATGTCCTTCAGAGGAGCGTCTCCTAACTGGCAATGCTGTTGCTGAAAGATTTGGTTTATTAACATCTAAGAGAGATCTGTGTGCATGGAAAGGAAGCAGGGTATTAAAACAAGAGTCTGTCTTTTAGATCTGGGACAAGGGTAGCAGTTGACCTTATTATTATTGATTGGATTTTTCTTGTGGGATAATGAGTAAAGAGGTATATCACTTTGTGGAAGGGTCATGGGTCAGAGAAGTATTTTTCACATATGCCTCATCAATAGACTCCCCTTACAGTTTAAGATCATTTTACCATCATTTCAGATTTTTACTGCTATTGTCTTTGCCTTATGGGCTTTATAACTAAATGAGTGTTTGCAGGTTGACATCAAGGCAGCTGTCTCCAGTAAAGGCAAGATGGTATCTGGGAAAGGCTGTGTGACCATTTTAGCTGTTGCCTGCGAGCTATATCAAAGATGTGAAGTTTTTGACCTATCAAGCTATTAATGGCTAGTAGCAGATATGTTTTTGTGCCTGTAGGAGATTTCTCCTTTTTTATCTAGGAGATGGGACAGCTGCCAGAGAATTCCCTGCACCTCTGAAATTCCCTCCTTCCCACTCTCTGAAATAGCTGCAGTCCTACTAGGCACTTTTGTTTTCACCAGGCCTTTGAGAAATGTGAAGAGGACTGTAAATAAGGTATTTAAATACCCTGGCATGATGGAGGAGATGCACCCTTTGTCTTCCAGGCATTTTGCCTGAAGAGTTGAAGGGTGCTTGAGTCTGAATGGAGTCAAATATTTTCCATTCTAAAGCTAAAGAAGGTAAACAAGATATGTAGTTGGTAAATCAACATGTGACTTTGGATACTTATAGGTATATATTGCTATGTCTAGGGCAGATTCTATTTGTTGTCAAGCTGGGCTTTTCTTTTGCCAGTCTTCAGGATGCAAGTACATGGGAGAGGGGACGTGCTTGTCTGTGTTGCTTGATTTAGTCCCCTGTAGCTGAGGGCAGTTGTACGGTAGAGGCTTGTGCAGAAAATGTGCTCCACAAACTTCCTCAAGTGATGAAATGTTTCCCTCTGTAGCAAACCTAAGGCTTGTGAGAGAAGCCACAAGTATAATGTGCTACAAGCAGTGGTGGAGCTGGGAATGGAAGAGCAAAGGTAGCCCCCTATTCAAGTATCTGCAATACAGGGCTGTTAGAGAAAATCCCGTGTTACTTGAAAGTGGGTTACAACCACCCTGTGGAGGAAAGGATAAATTTTCCTTCCTGGGCACAGCTAATGATGCTCAGTTTAGCACAAGAGTGTACAAGCAGGGCACACTGACCACAAATTAAGAGAACTTACTACAACAAAGTGACCTTAGTGCCCTTATTTTAACTGTGTGGACCTCAAAGGGAAAGTACAAGCAATTTACTTGAGCAGCTTGAACTATTTGGGAATTAGTCAGCTGTTCCATGTTAGCACTTCGGGAAACGCCCAGCACCCTTGTGTACGCTGGTTGGAGAACCAAAAAAAAATGCTGAAAAACATTCTGCATCTTCACTTTGTGTAGAAGGAAAGGACTCCTGGCAATGGCTATAAGATGATATAATACTCATGAGAATGCCACATAATCTCAAACTAATCTTTTTGCAGTGCAAAGAAGTACTGCTTTTACTTTCTGATGTAAATAGGAATAAGAAAATGTAACTCCCTTTTTTATTTTACATGAAATTTGTGTAAACCGTATGGATTTTGGTTATAAGCCTGGCACCTCAGAAATGTGTATGGTGCATTTTGAGAAGGATGGGCAGCAATGCTATTCTCAAATAAAGATGTTCCAGCAAAGCCACCATGAGGTGAGCTTGTATGGTTATCTTTCCTTGTGAAACAGGGTGACAATTTTTGCTTCTACAAAGATGAAGGGATTGTTTTCAACCTTTTGTAACTTCTCAACATGAAGGCTGCACAAACATTTCTGCAGCACAGTAGATCATTCTCTTGAGTGAAAGATTGTCTAGCATCTTGCTTGAAGAGCACTGGTACCTAAAGTTTTAAAAAAAATAGTTTGCATGATTTCTTTTCCTACACTTTGCAAACCTTTTTGAGAAGAAATCACGTTTCTGTTACTTTGTCTTAGGGACTGCCTGAGGTCCCTTTCTTGCTCTGAAGTGGAGAAGAACATGCCTTAATGGATGCAAGTCTCTCAAGATACCACAACAAGAAGAAACAGAGAAGAATTCTATTATTTGCAAGAGACAGGAGGTTTCCACAGCCAAGATGGGACTCCTCACCTGATTTCATCCTTAGGAAAGTTAGCTTCCTAGATAAAGTTAATCATTAGGTTCTGCAGCCAGTAGAGGAGAGGTGAATTGCTTTTGGAGATACTCATGTTACTTACCCTAGAAACTGTTTCAGAATGGCATAAAACTCTCTCCCCATTTCTGGGGAGATTTAAATGAGGGATTTAGTTTTTAGGTAGTTGAAGCTGAATTAAACTGATCTTTTTTTCTGACCATTCTTATGTCTGGGTGAAGCTGTTACATACTTTGAGCAGGGCCACAAGGACAGCAAGGCACCAGAATATCCCCTTCAGAATTCTTCCTTGGGGGTGGTACTTATTAAGATACATTAATCTTCCACATCATTTGATCTTGCAGGTGTCTACAAGTTTGTCCATAAACAACACTTGGAATACCCGAGATTGAGTCAGCCTCTACCTGCTGATGTGCACCTTCCCCCTCTGCCACTGTGGGAAGTTTTTGTCCTCTCCCAGTTTTTGTACTTTACAAAGTGAAAACATTGTAATAATTTTATAGAGCTTTCTTTGCAAGATGTAGATGTAAGAGTCTGACAGTAGATTTAAGAGTCTTCATTCTCTTCCATTTCTGAAGTGGGTTTGTTGTTCTCTGGAAGACATGGGAGTGCTGTCGGTCACTTGTGTTAACAGGATGAAGTTAAGCCTTTAAGGAGATCCACAGTGTGCTGTCAAAATGCCATCATCTATCAGAGTACTGTAAATTTGCTGGGGTGGGAACTAGGTTGTGAATGGGTAGCACATAAAGACTACATAAAGATCATATAACTCTCAGAAATTGATTCAGTTGCCCAAGCAGGGGTCTTTAGTGCTATTTTGGGGTACAACTGTTGGCATCCACTTGCAGCTCTGGAAAAGGCGTGGGTCTTCCTTAGGCCCTGGGTCATATGAGCCAGTCCCGTGGCCAAGGACTCAGAAATGACACACACCTGAGTATGGGTTTTGTTTGCCTTAACAAGAATCATTGGAAACAATTTCCAGGGTGAGGATTTACAGAGGTCTTAGGCTCAAGAAAAGTTTGTGGTGGGTGTATATGTTTCAGTGTGAGGGAGATGTGCTCAATGAAGGTGTAGTTGAGAGTCTGTACAACAGTGGGCACTAGGCTGAGCAGTCTTCAGGTGCTCAAGGCTTCTCCTTTCTGCTTTGTGAAGGCTTTCATGGTACCAAGTCACGGTTGTAATAATAAACTTACCTGGAACAGCCAAGACTGATCACTAACATTTTCAGTATGTCAAAAAAGATGGTAAAGTAGCTCAAAAAAAACTTCTGAAGAGCAAAGACTGATCTTGCCAGAAAAATGTTTTTAATCCCTGCAAGGAGGGGTTTTGGTTTTGCGATCCTGAGCGCTCTGATATATCCCAGTCCCTCCTGTGCAAAAGGCTCGCACAGGACTCAGAAATCTTTCTCAATTCTGTTAATAAGCACCGACTGAGCTGTGTGGGTGACCCCAGCCTTTCTAGCTTATTAAGAAGAGCCAAAGCTGCCTAATGAGAACTGAGCATCAGCAGCTCTGAGATGAGCAAAACCTATGTATGGAAGGGTAAAAAAACAGTTTCTGCTGGTACAATGTTAAAGAGATGTAGTAGGTGTTTTTGTAGTGTAGATGACATGATGTATGTGCAATAGGGCAGGAATTTCTTGAGCAAGGTGCCCTGTGCTAAAATACCTGTCTGTTGACGCAACTGATACATTTGGCTTTGAGAGAGAGGGGGGAATGAGTGCAATGGAAGAACATGTGGTAGTGTAAAGGGGAGCAGGGAGTAAAAGACCTGGAGAAAGATTAGAAAATGCAAAACGAGAAAATGCATTGCAAATTATCATATGCTTTCAAAGGAGAAAATGAGAAGCAAGAAGCCTTCAGGGGAAGAAAAAAAAAAAAAAGGAAAAAAATCATATCCAGTTTTCAGGTTAATGGAACTGTGTTTATTTTGTACGGTGTTTGTTTATCTCTTTGGATGGAGTGGTGTATTAATAGTACATAGCTGTGGTTTGTATTAAAGCATACAGAACTAATCAATAGTTGGGTAAACCTTATGAACTGCAGTTGTGTTTGATTCAATGTATTATAATGGAGAGACTCAACAGCCTTTTCTGTCTTCCACTGAAACTGTGGGACTGTTCAGATCATGGAACAGAATGGCCGCATCACGTTTATCCAGGGGAAAAATGCAAAGAAAAATGAGAATGTAAACCATGCTCTTCATCCTGCCTGAAGTCACCAGCATCTGTGTGCCACCACAGTGAAAGTTGGGGTCAGTACCAGGACAGCCAAATTGGTGGGTAAAGGCAGACACTATATGTTGCAGCAATTTAAGCTATTTCTCTTTAGGTAAGGACAGCAGAAAGTTAGCATTCATAGCAAAGGGTCTTGCTTCAAGTAGTCTTTGTAGTAAAGGATTTCATGGGGTGATTTAGCATTCTTCAGGCAGTGGTTAATGAAAACCACTTCCCCTTTAAGTAGCTGGGGAGGTATAGCAGATTTTTAATGTTCTGCAGTTTATAGAGTTAAGGTGACCCTGTTATAGAAATACAGCTGACTTGATTTGTTGCTGCTGTTTAAATAACACTCCCCGCTGTAGTTCTCTGCTGCCAGGGGAAAGCTAATGGAAGGTGGAGCAGATTAAGGAAAATAAGATGAATTAGAGCAATTCAAGAGAACATATTTATAACTAACTTATGAACAGAAACCTAGAAACAGCAAGATACATAGCTGTCTCAACTCATGCACAGTTGAACCCTGGAAGCTGGGAGCTGTAGATGTTCCACAGATGAGTATTGTAGTCTCTCCACCTTGGTGCCAAGCAGTAGATGTGATGTGTTATCCTGGTGCTAGAAAGCCATGCAGAGGGCCTACGGTGACCTCACAGAACATACAGAGTGACTTTTTTTTTTTTTTAAATTCTGATTTGGAAACTGTGGGTAAATACTGTCCTTTTGGTGGTTAGAATGTCTTCTCATGCTCTTTTGCACAAAACATTTGGTTTGCCTTAAAAATAGTCTGTAGTCTCCTGAAGTCCAGTCTTCTCTACTGTTGCACAGTGGTTTTGGCAGTGCTTATACATGAATATTTCACAACTGTATGCTTTACAATTTAGCTTATGTCTATAATGCTTGTCTTATTTTCACCCTATTTCTAGATTAAATGTTTTGCTTCTTTTGTCCCCGAGGCAGATTATCTCTGGGAGTTTCTGTGTAGTTTGCTATAAATTATTAATATGATGTGTTTTTACACTCCTTGCTTTTAATTTGTGTTTCTTTGAGTACATGGTGTACACATGTAGATACCTGACAGCAGTTTGAAAGCTAACTCATGCGGTGGGGCTGCAGAGCCCACCCTTTGCCTGGGTGTTTCCTCCAGAGATGCTGCAGGAGTTTTGTTGTGGCCTCTCCAGCCCTGCTTTGGGCAACCTCTCCTCTTCAAAACAACCAGCAGGGACACCCAGGTGCTCAATCGGTTAAACCACACGGGGCTTTTCCAGGGCCTGAGGCTGCCATGCAAACTCTTAGCTGCTGTTTTCGTCGTTTCCTCATGCAAAAGCCTTACTGGAAGTTAAACAGCAGCACCAAGGCAGCAGGACTGCAGAGCCAGTCCCCACAGGTGTGCTCTTCCCTGGCTGCAGGAGCAAGCCAGCTGGGTCACACCACGCATCTCTCCCCAGGCAGCCACAGCCTGTGCTAAGCCACCCTCCATCCCACCACAACTGCTTGTTAGCCATAATGAAGCAGTAGCGAAGCGAGAAAGTCTGCTTTTGAGATACCGGAATAGATATTAACCAATAGTGGGATAAATTCAAAGGGTGAAAAAAGTCTGGGTTTCTATTTGTCTGGAGCACTGAGAGACCTTTGAACAGAAACCTGAAATGTATTCCTGTCGTGGATTATTGGTACCCCATTTGGACTGAGTGAATTCAAGGGGCTCTTACATACTTACAGTGTTTTTCCTGAGTGTTCATGTTGAGGTGTAGTGTATACACATGCATGTGTGTGTACACATAGCTATGTATGCATGCAGGTTTGTGCCCAGGCAGTCCTGAGCAACAGATGTCTGGTATGTACTGGATCTCAGTTCATTTTTGTGGTACCTCAGCCCGTAGCCAGACATTTCTGACAGCTTTTTTGGCTTCTTTTTAATAGTTCCCCTTCGATCTCCTCTATTCTGTTCAGAAACACTCTGGATGTTGTTTCTTAGGCAGTTTTAAAAAGTGAAATAATTTAGTTTTTTGGATGGAGGTAATCAAAACTAGAAAAAGTATAGACAGGGCTGTGGTTGCAAAGAAGGGAGAGCTTGCCTTGGTAACTAATTCAAATTAAACCAGTCTCAAACACTTTACATCTCTAAGCACTGTTTCTTTTGTTTTTTCTTTCCCCTCCTCAGGAATTCATTTTATCAGAAGATTACAACAAGATGACCCTAGTGAAAAGTTACCAGGGTAAGAACTGTGATCTGTGTTAATTGGTTTGTATTGTCATTAATGTTCTCTTAAGGAGTGTGAATGGAGAGAAGTCTCCTTTACAGTGATTGATTTTTATTTTTTTTTAAACTAATGTAAATGCTGGTTTTATCAATAGAACAATAACTTGCTTTGTTCTGAGATTACAAGACTTTTAGAGAGCTGTTTCATGTTCTGTTTTTCCTTTTAAATGTTCTTTTGGAATATCATTCTAAACAACAAACTGTCCAAAATTCAGACCATGTTTTGGGGAAGAGGAGTACAAATTTTCAGTCTTTCAGTAATCCAGTGTATCTAATGAAACGATTTAGGAAGCTAACTCATCTTTTAGGGCTGAGACATTTAGGACTGTAGCTTTTGGTGTTGGTCTGGTTACATTTCAATAAAAGCCTGCTTCAGAAATCTCAAGATTATCAGTGGATACCTGTCAGAGAAAAAGGTCAAGAATTGCTAATCCATACCTTTCTAATTATATTCTGGTGTTCACTAATGTGTTTTAAGAAACCTAGCTATTTATGCTTGTCAAATCTGTAAAGGACATTGCACTTGGGAAAAGTATTCTTATAAAAGTAACAAATACATGCTACAATTTATTCTTGTATCTCTGTTCCTGTTGGACTAAGAGATGGTATGATGTTGTATGGCATCATATAATGTATTGTATGCTAAGCATTATGTTTCTGTATAGAAGCCCCTGACATGTCGGCTTGAGATTTCTCACATACATTTTAAAATATGTATTCACTCATATATTTTGAGTTTTATAACTTGAAATGTTGAGAGTGTAATTTAAACCTCTGCATGGAGGCTCTAGGGATCGCTTTGTAACCTTTAGCTTTTAAGGTATGAAGAGAATCTTGATTCCTGCAGAGCACGGCTAACGTGTCGGTTTTTGAGCATTTTACTTCATCTTTTTATGAATGTCTGGTGTGTTGTAAAATTAAGCTAGAATGACTGCATTTTTTCTTAGCTTGTGAAGAAAAATGTCCGATGATGATAAAATATATATGTGACACTTAAATAAGGTTGCTGCAGTCTGACTGTACAAGTCTTTAGTATCCAAATTTGTGATTGCTCCACAATCACCAAAGTTTGACACACCTAGGTTTCATATTTAAGGGTTGTTGCACTGAAGGGTTCTACTGACTGTTCTGCAGCCCCCTTTGTTATTAGCTCATCCACTTGTGTGCTTGGATTCAATCTTGCAGGCTAATCAGAGCCTAGGAAGGGTGAGCTGAATTATTTTCTTCTGCATATGCAGAACAACATGTGCATGAGACCACCTTTCTTGCTGAGCTCTTCAGGGAAAAAACTGAAAATTTTGGAATGGAGGGGGAACATATATCTTGGCAGTATGGTATAATAACCTGTTGGCATCCCACTCAAGGCCTGGGGAGCACCCCTTATAAGTTTTTTTTTAAAATGAAGGAAAATGAAAGCTGTTCTGATGGCCCTCTGCTGCAGTGTGCCAGATGTGCTGCTGCTACAGAGCATTCCTATCTTTGGATAGGAAGATGCCGTGGAGAACCTCCATAGGTTGTCCTGTGAGAGAAGCCCAAAAGTTCAGATGGTATCTCCCAAACATTGGACAACAGAGGACTCTAATGAGGATCTGTTAACATCAGTAGAGAAGTGGAACACTGACCCTGGCCCCAACTGGAGTTGCCTTCTTCCTAGACTGCCTCTCTCAGCATGGGAAGGTTTTTGGTCAGTTCTGGTAACTTTGTGCCAGGACTCTCAAATGATGTGTTAGAAAATTTTATCTGAAAGCTGTGGACTTATTTGAGGGCAAGAGAAGCAATACTTGTGCCCAGAATCATTTAATTTCTAGACTAAACCACAGCAATCGCTGACAGCGGATGGTGTCTACCTTCAGGTGCTTAAGCAACTGCCTGGTGCCTGCTGTGCCCCTCAGGGGCATGGAGCCCCTGCCCTGTTTTCCTCCCTCGCTTCCAAAGTTTGATGTTTGGTCTTTCCCTTGTTTAAGCTGATAAAAACTCTATTCCTCTAACTTACAATATAGTGGCAGTGTGTGAGTGACCTAGTTTTGAGAGTGGAAAGAACGTGTGGTGAACCCAGGCCACTGGGATCTCCCAAATCCATATGTATGTGGGTGTCTGTACACTAATCCCCTCTGTGCAAGGGTTAAAGAAGCATTAGGGCTGGTGTTCTGCTTTCTGCACATTGCCAGCCACATGGGCAAAAGTTTAGTTTTGGAAAAATACACCCTCTGGTACTGTTGGAGATGCGCTTTTTTTTTTTTCTTTCTCCCCCTACTGCTAGTTTAGGAAAGCCAGACTGCTGTTAATGCTACAAATAGAGATGGCAACCAGACAGGGCAAAAGACAGTTCGCAATTCATTGCTTCAGGAGGGACAAGACTCATTGAAGGTCCATTCGGAGTTGGTAGGAAACTTTCCCTGGAACAGCAGTTGACAGCTGGCATAACACAGCCAGGCAGGACGCGGGGATGGAGGGAAGCTTCTGCATGAAGATACACTCTGCCCAGTTTACCATCAGTTCTGGCAACACACACTGAGCCACACAGACCCCTCTGGGCCACTCTTCTGTCCAGACCAGGAATGACATGGCTCTGAGTACGTTACAGCAACCCCAAGGACAATCTCGGGTTGCCTCAACTCTACTGGAAAGTGTCACCCAAAGTCCTGGGGCAGGGAAAAGCATAACTAAAAGGGAGCACTTTGTGCTCCTAAAAAGGAGTTTTGTTGGGTATGGTGGGCCTTCTAGTGGTTCATTTGTTAAAAACCTTGCTTTTAAAAATTGTTAAGTTTTCAAGTAAGGCCTCTGTATTCTTAAAAATATTTTAGGGGGAGTAAATAATTTTATTTTGCCTATCAAGAGGCTTTAGTTTAGCCATGCTCGCTTGTTTTGTGTATGCTAGCTTTGTTTGTAAATCTTAAAAGTATTACCTTGCCCAGTGACTGGTGGGCTATGGATCATCTTCCACAACAAGATATTGTTGCAAGTAGCTGAAGCTGCTGTAATGATTAAAGAATATGAATTGTGTACTGAAAGGCCATGAATGTGTCTGTCAAATGATCTGCTAGTGACAGAATGACAGCACATAAATAGGCTGTGCTTTGGTCTCGGCAGGGTCTGCGGCTAGGTCCAGTGTCATATGGTGGCCCAGCACCAGCAGCGTACGTGGCTGGACATGCTCTGTAGAGGTTTTCCTGGGACTGTGTCTGGAGTTGTAAAAAACTTCTGTTTCTTGAAAGTGATTGAAATATAGAGATTGGGGATGTGACACAGTGTTAGTCAGGACTCTGGGGTGGGTCATGGGGCATTGGCTTCCTACAGGCACCAACTCCTTCCATTGCTCAAGGAGGGGTAGAGCAGCCGTTTGAACAGTGATATTTGGGATACGCTGGGAAATTAAACTTTTCATTCTGCGTCAGTCTTTTATAACTATCACCGTCCCCGCTTCTTCAGCCACAGCACTAGCTGCAGGCAGGGACAACCTCCTCTCATAGCAAGCTTCTATTTCCCCAGAGAGCTCCTCTTGCATTCCCATGAGACTAAGGGGGTTGAAGAAACCCTTCCCTCCCCTCACCAGCCTCAGCTTCCAGCCCCTCACAGGTTTGTCCTGCCGCATGGCTGTTGCTGCTTCCTGTTCTGCACAGCCTTCTCCACTCTGCGCCTTGCAACTGCACCTTCTTGCCAGGGGCCATGTTTCCAGTCCATGACCTCTCTTGATGATATAACAGTTCCTGATTTTTAAGGTTTTTTTAAATTTGTTTAACATGCACTTGTTCTGCTGAACAGGATTTGTAGACCCCATGCTTTCTGCAGCCTGCCCATTTTGGGGATGTCCCGTTGCCTCCTTGCTTTCAGGTCAGCTCATGGCATGCCCTTACTTCTGCTTTCCCGTATGCACAGCCTCTTCTCTTGTGCTTTTCTTGCACATGCTGAGTTTTTCTGTCTTAGTACTAACTTCAACCTCTCTTTTGGTGTGTGCTGCTGCTTTTCACTGTTGTTACTCTTCCTTTCACCCAACACAGCTTCTTGCCCTGCACTGTGCATGGCTGTGCACTGGCTGTGCCTCAGGGACCTCTGCCTTTTACGCAGAGCACAGACCCTCCTTTTCCCTGTGCTCTGGCTGTGACGTCTCAGCATTCGCCTCCTGGCTGCAGATGCTTTTCTCTAGGTACACCCCTTCCATCCCCTCTCCAGCCCCCTCTTTGCACAGTGCTTGCTGCTGCTTTCTCGTAGCAGGAGTGCAGGCCCCCTCCTACCCTCCAGCTGTATGTAGATGGACCGGCTCCCTTCTCCTGTCTGCTGCTTCTCTACTTTGTGTACAGCATAATCTTCCCCCACACATGGGATCTCTTCTCATGCTGTCTTACACAGATCTGTTCTTGCCTGATGCTTGCTGTGGCTTTTTCCGTACTGTGACCACGTTCACCCGCCATCCCTCTTCTCCATCCTGCTGTTGTTTCAGTGAGCAGCTTTGGAAGTGTTTCCTCCACTTTTTTTCTGCACACAAATGGTGATCAAACCTTCCATGGATGAAGAACCAGCTTTTTGTTTGCTGCTTCATGACCCTGAACCTGTGTTAATCCTAGGGCCCAGACCTCTTCCTTGCTCTGCTATCAACTTCCAACCTTCTGACATTCTGCTTCTTTAAGCCTTAAATGGGTCAAGTTCCCTTTCAATAACAAGTGACTTTCTACTTGCATTTGTCCTCTCTGTCCAACCTTACTTAGATGACCTCCACTGTGCTTTCACCTGATTCAGATATTTCTGCCGTCAGTGTGTGTTTGGTGGCACCAGCTAATACATGCAGCCCTTGCAGGTGGGCAAGAGAGTGCTGAATTGAAAGATTTTTTTGGGGGAGGGAGGATAAACACAGCTATCACATACACCCCTTCCATCTGTTGGCACGTATACATTTTTTTAATGTCTACTCTTTACTTGCCAGAGAGAGCTGCCTCACCATGCACATGCAGGATTTCTGGCAAAAGGTACAAGCCTTGGCTTTTAAAAGAAGTAAAACAACAACCCTGGACAGGCCTTGAACAGCCTGATCTCAGCCAGCTTTGCTTGTGGAAGTGCATGGGTCCGTCTACGGCACTGCTGGTGCACACAAGCCCCTGGGACATGTATACAAGCCCATCAGGTGCTTGTAGCAGTATGCATCCCATCATGGCCCTTTCTGCAATGCACCACTCCACCAGCTAGTGCAGATGCCCCATAGGGAGACCAACAGACAGGTAAAGACAAGCCTTAGTCGCCTATAGGGTCACTGGATTTCTTCCCAAAGAAAGCTGGAGGGTGGACAGAACAGAGGATCTGTTTAAAAGAGCTCAGATGACTCCTGGGTGGTCCCCATCCCTCTATTCTGATTACAAACCTGGAGTTTAAAAGTGTCTGGAAATGAGAGCCAAAATCTGAGCTTTTCTGTGGGCAAGGGTGAAAGCATCTGGGCACAGTTCAAGTCTGATGCTGTAAACTAGTCCAGCTGCCAGTCACAGTTATGGCAACTTCTGTCAATTGACTTGTCCTTGGGGAATCTGGGTCTAAAAAGCAGCACGGATCAGGGGCAGATGTTGGCTTGTACAAGGCTACTTTTCTTTGCTGCAACTGATTCCCCTCATAGGGTTTGAACACAGCTCTCATCTGTGCTGTTTATTTTTATAGGGTGGGCAGCAATCTTCCCATACTGTTCTAAGGAATTTCTCTGTTTTTCAAATAGAGATTTCAGGGTGGTTTTTAAGCTTCCAAAGAGATTTAATCTTTCCAGTGTGTCAGCTTCTACACAAATACAAGCAGCCTGCTTTGTGCGACACATGTTGCTGGGTCTCAGAACAGTAATAAACCAGTAGGGCTGTGGATTGGGGAGCATGGCATTCGCTTCTAAGTTACAGCTGGGAATAATTCTGCATATCTTTCCAGACACTTGTTTTATAAAAAGTCAGCTCCATCAGCACTTCATGACCAAGCCCACTGGTCATTCATACAAAAAAAAGTCTGTGTAAGTCTGGGTTCCCTTGCTTTAATTAAAAGTTTTTGATGGCTTTACTTAGGTAACAGGATAAATTTATTCCGTCAGCTGTTTTATTCGTTTTGTTCAGCTGTGATCTTTTTAGAGGTTTTTTTTAAATTTTATTTTATTCCAATTTCCTTTTTCTAAAACTTCCCTTTGGTGCAGAGTTATGCCTGTGCTGTAGCTCATCGTTCTGCAGGGGTTCCACAATCCGCAGCCCACATGCACCAGACCTCTCAGAGGGAGGAGCGGCAGCATAGGCATCTGCACGGCTGTCATAAACCCATCTCAAAAGAGGTTTAAGTAGAGCCAAGAGTGCTTTCCACAATGGCAGCTTTGTTGGTGATGACACAATGATGGAAGTAAGACTTGTGCTACTGTAGAAGATAAATGGCTGCAATAGGCATGGAAGGAATTAAGCCTTCTGCTCTTTCTCATGCAAATGCTGAACATTCAGCGCAAGGACCTTACAAGCTTGCATTAGTACTTGTGTCAACGGGATTATTAAACACCAGTTTCTTCTCTAGGGAAGGGTGAGCAGGTGAGTAGGGAGTGGAGGAGTTGGGTGCAGCTGATATTTGCAGTGGTCTTCTACCCCTGTATTGTTCTCCACAGTGGGATTAATTGTCTGTCTGCTTAATTTTCAGCTCATCAAAGCAGGGTCATGATGATTCTGTTTGTCCTGGAGATGGAGTGGGTGTTAAGCACCGGACAAGACAAACACTTCACGTGGCACTGTTCAGAGAGTGGCCAGCGGCTGGGAGGGTACCGCACCAACGCAGGCGCCTGTGGCCTGCAGTATCCTTTGCTGAGCTCTCAGTTTTATTTCTGTTCTTTGTCACTTAAACAGCCTCTTTGGTTTATTTTTCTAGTTGTCCTCCAAATTTTGTGCCCTGTATAGTTTCAGTGCTTTGTAAGAGAAACCGTTATTAAAGCCCATTTTTAAAAACTGTCTGTTCTCCTTGCTCTGTCTCCTTAATGCATGATGGCATATTTAGGTCTAAGCATTTCTGAGCAAAACAATGGGCGATCTGCAACCCATTGTGGTCTGCTGCTGTAATAAATATGGACAGGGCCTTAATTTAAACATGCTTTCTTCTAAGAATTAACAGTAGCAAAGTAGGTCTGTGATCAGGCCAGCGTGCCTGTGTGTATGCATGGTAAAAATTAAATTACTTGAATATAAAATAATGAGTACTTGTCCTTCACTCTGGAACGGCTCACTGTGTATTGGGAATTTGGGTTAACTAAAGCGTAAATGGCTCCAGAAATGGCACGCAAGTGGCTTATTCACCTACAGGTGCCCCAGCTGCCTGACAATAAAAGAAATATTAATTCAGCTTTACTGCAAATGAAAAGAGAAGAGGAAAAGCATGAGCTCTTAGGCTGAAACCAGGGGTTAGCATAAAGGGACTTTTTAGTGCCCCATACATAGTGTATATGGTATAGATGATGTGTGTTCTGCTAGTTCATGGGAAGTGAGACTGGCTCTAAATTACTGACTGAACATGGACTTGCTTGATATCATCTGGCCATTCAGCCAATCTAAATGGCATAAAGACTGAACTTAATCTTTAATTGAATGATAAATGCTTTTGGAAGTGTAGTGCAGGAATTTGTCCTGTATTTCTTAAACCTCTCTGGGGAAGGGACTGTTTTGAGTGATTCAGGATTTTGGAGAATACTTTAATTTGGGTCATTAGATCGTGCTGGTGGAGGGCTGGGGAAGGGAGCATCATTGATAAATATTGCAAAAAGCTTGGCAAAACCAGGAATGTGTGGGGTTTTTTCCCCAATGTCCTATGTGCATAAAATCAGTGCTAAGCAGTTGCCCCTTAAATATCCAATGTAAACTCTGAATGTGGAATTAAATTGGATTAAGAGGTCAGAATCTGTCCAGACAGGTGGTTCCATTAGGTGGTTGAATGGGTCTAGATTTTATTCAGTTTAGAATGTGATGCATGACACACCTGATGTAGGTGTCACTTCCCCAAATACGACATAAAACAACACCCTTTAATTGTATTTGTAAACTATAGTGAAAGATTAGAAAGCTAGTAATAGTTATTTTGGGAAGTTATACAGTTTTGTGAAGAGAAAGAGAGAGTACACACCATCCGCCTCTAGCACCTAAGTTAGAGAGCCTGGGGAGGTGATCCCTCTGTTAATGGCAAAGGGCTGCTTCAAAGGTGTTTCATATTAAAACCACTAACTTGCCTCTTCTGGAATAATCTCTTTTTTTCTCACTTTTTGGTTTACTCAGGGAGACTGCACTGTAACATGAACAGGTATGAGCTTGATGCCTAAAAGTACACCCTGAATACCTCCTTGAGACTGAAGTACTATTCATGAAGCTGCAGTATACTTGCATTAAAAGAATTAAGAAGTCATGAAAGGAATGCAAAGCTTGTGTAAGCAATGTATTTTCCTCAGCATTTATCCATCAGATTTGATGTGGAAACCCGGCATGTGTTTGTTGGTGATCATTCTGGGCAAGTGACCATACTCAAACTAGAGCAAGAGTCCTGCAGCCTTGTTACAACATTTAAGGGACACACAGGTAAGGCCCCAGGAGGGGACCTAGTTTGGTTCTTAGTCTGTGCTCAGCGTCACGGTGGTTTGACTCTCCAGTAAAACACAAGGATGGCTTGTGTCAGTGCATAGCATGGAAGGGAGATAGACCTTAAGTTGTCACTAGAGCTCAGGGAAGTTTATTCTTTATTGATAAAAACAAGGAAAGGAGGAAAAGGATCCTCCTCAAGGAAAGACCCATCTTGTTAGACACTTTTGCCCAAGTGGAATAAGCAGATCTTGGGGGCACTAACTCCTTGTTTTACTGCTGGGACTTGTGCCCCATCACACTTTAAAAACAGCAACCCCGCGAAGTGATCCTGTAATCTAACAGAAGAAATGGTGGTCATTCATCAGCATTTTCTTTCCACATCCCTCCTCTCTGATTGAACGCTAGTAGCTCAGTCATGAGGTATAGCACAAGGTAGTTCAAGCCTCAAGCTAGGATGCTATGAAGATGCGAATAGTATTCCACACTTGCTTCTCTTTTGTAATGAAATCTGTATCCTGGGAATTATGGGGATGAAAAGCTGTATAGTCAGAGCGTGACCATCCTTATACCACGCTTTACTGCTTATTGGATTCATCCTTGCAAGTGGCAGCAGAGCCCTCTGCCCGCAGAAGAGCAGGATGGGGCTTCAGCAGGTTTTCTAGGCTGTTAGTTTTCAACTGGCAAGCACAGTGCCTGCATGGCCTTTGCTAAAGAGACCTGCATTTTAATCACTATGTCTCCATATTTTTTGTTATATCTTTATATATATTTTTAGCTACATTCCTGTCTTCCACTTTCAGTAATGAAATGACTATTGTGTGCATCTCCTGTTTCAGGTGGTGTCACTGCTCTCTGTTGGGACCCAATACAGCGAGTTTTATTCTCAGGCAGTTCTGATCATTCCATTATAATGTGGGATATTGGAGGAAGAAAAGGAACAGCCATCGAGCTGCAAGGACATAAGTATGTTCAAAGCCCTTCCTCCTGCTTTTATGGGAGAAAAGCTAAAGGCAGAAGCCACATCTGGAAACAAAAAGCCCAAAGGTTACAGCCTTCACATGCCTCAAGCTTGTGTGTGTGACTCCCTGTGGTCCATATGCAACTGGAATAATTTGCTTATAGTAAGTTTTTCAGCATTGGGCCCACAGGTTGGTTTGAGAGCCTGCAAAGGGTGGTGAAAGAAAGCAGAATATCTATAGTCTTGAATGTGTTATGCCAGAGCCTGCACCTTTGCTGGAAAGAAGGAGGGTCTTCAAATGAGAACAGCTGCAGGGAAATTCTTGCTTTTTAGGTGTTAAGGTCTTTCCTTCCCCTAGAGGGAGCATCAGGCTTGCACAATTAGTCCCTTTTTCCTCTATGTTAACTTTTTCCATGCCACTTTACTTACAGCCTGAATTCTAGGTAATGTGCTTTACTCACATGGGGGCCTTCACCATCTCCTCTATGCAAAGAAGCTCCATCTTTGCATGTACAGAGCTCGCATTTGCGTAGCATAGTAGATGGCCTTGAGGAAGAGTAAACCTGTGCTGGGCATTGAGTAGAGATCAGAATGGCTCTCGTTGCAGTGACCTCCTAGACTTTTAACACTGCCAATGCGACAAGTTTGTTTCAGTATATTGGGAGTGCATGTATGTGGGACTTGTATGCCAGACTCAGGTCTGGAGAGGCAAAATCCCATGGTGGCTTTGCTCTTAACAGTTTCTTATATATTCATACATTTCTTTTGAGTGATGCTGCACTCTGCTCTCAGGAGATTTGGATGCTGCTGGGATTTCAGTGCACTGCAGAGCTCTTGCTGAAATTCCCAGATTACCCTCATGCTTGCTAATGCACCACTGCTAGATTTATTGCTGTGGAAAATAGTTCTCCTAATACAGTTAGCCTCTGTATCTTGATCTGGCTTTTGGCTGGCACTGTACAGCATAGAGACCTGGTCCGAAGAACAACAGGGACTAAGAAACATTTCATCTGACGGTTCCACTAGCACTGTTGGCAGGTGGGTGCTGTGAATGCAGGCTGTGTTGTACCAAACTGTCCCCTAAACGCCTTCCCCTCTGGAGCGGCAGCCATATGCACTAGCAAATGCACTAGCAAATGCATTAGCGTGAAAGTCCTTTGGATAAATGAGACCAGTGGTGGAAACAAAGAAAACCAAATGTTGCGGATTATTTCCAGATGCTGTATGCTCAGTTACTGATTCTTCTTAATCTTGTTTTTTCCATAATAGTGTTGCACAGTCTTTGTTTCCCAGGTTGTAAATAGCTGGAGATGAGGCCTGGTTTTCTTTCTTTTATGAAGGAATGAGCACAGCTTTGGGGTTTTAGACTGCATTATTTCTCCCATGTTGCTTTTTCCTTAAAAGAAGAAACAAAAGCACCTACATCTTCTACCTTGCCTTGGGAAGGCTTAGGAACAATTTAGTGATTCCTATATTATTTTTGAAACTCTGTTAGTGTTAGCTTGTTAGTGCCAAAAGAAAATCTTCAGTAGTTCCTCAGTGCTTCATTCGTAGATGTTGCAAAGATGTATGAAAACAAAGTTATTACTGCCTTTCTGACAGGAAGGTACCTTACTGGGGCTGCATTTATGCATCTAGATGTGCCTTTGGAGACACCCAGAGCTACAGCTCTGTTCAGGCTTCCCAGTGCAGCTGGGACCTCCCATCTCGGGAGCAGCAAAAGCAGTTATCAGACAGGTCTTTGCTTTGTGGATGCTGCCCAGGTGAGTAACACTCTGGTTCTGGTCCCAGCTGGACAGCAAAGGCTGATTTGCATCTGATGGATGCCATGTACGATGAGTGGCAGAGGGAAACATGGGCAGACAAGTAGTTTATGCTGCTTTATTGTATATTCTACACTTACTTGTGTGCTAGCTATGGATGGTGGATTAATATCTGTCTTGTTTCTTTTTCAGCGATAAAGTTCAGTCTCTCTCCTATGCTCACCACACTCGGCAGCTCATCTCCTGTGGTGCGGATGGGGGAATCGTTGTCTGGAACATGGATGTTGAGAGGCAGGAGGTACTCAGTTCTTGTTGATTGAGTCTGAAACAGTCTTGGGAAGAAGGGGCCTTTCTAAAATGTGCAACTTTCAACCTGAACAAGATCATTCCAGGCTTTGAAAATGTTTTTGGACATGCTCCAGTTGTTATACAGCAATTATGCTGTGCCTTTGATAATATGGTACAGGGGAAATTGTCTGGCAGAAAATGTGTATTAAGTAGGCTGCTAAATGGCTCTTACCCTTTACATTATTGCTCTGAAAGACATCCTCTGAGGAGGGTACTGTGAGATGTTCTGCATTGTTTTTCAGGACATCATGAGAAATATTATCAGTTCAGAGGTAAATTGATGGATTGATAACTATTATGGGTTTTTAAGGAAACAAAACAAGAAAGCTCTTTGTCATCTTTGTCATCTCTGTAAACACGCAACCCAGGTTATTTTTTTTTTCCTGTTCTTGCTAAAAAGGCATTTAACTAGGGCTTCAATCTCACCCACCACTACTCAGTCTTGGTTGCCTCTGGTGTAACCACATAGATGCAGGTTAAATGATGACTTTGCCAATCCAGACAGTAAGATTTCACCCACGCACTCCTAACTGCTTTTGTGCTGCATAGCCAAGGAATGTAAGCAGGTGCAGTTCCTGTGGGGGGAATGGGGACGTAGACACTCCGAGTCCCCACAGTGGATAAGTCTGAGCAAGGCTTTTGGCAGCACAGGCTTTCACCAGCTTTGCTCATTCTCTAGGGTTTTGGCCTCCCCAGGTCGTGTTTGTCTCCCTGGAGCAAGGAGGAAAGCTAAGTGGAAAACTGGATTAAAAAAACTACTGAAATAGGCCTAGGCAGGAACTGAGCTCCCTTTTTTATGGGAATTAGCATTCCAGTTGTCTCTCTTTAATTGCTGATCTAATGGCCCATTATGTCATCAGCTCCAAGAGTGAAACAAAAGCAGAGTGGCTTCCTCCTTCCCAACAAATGTCTCCTTTTTGCTGCAACTCGAACATCCAGAAATGAAAACCTGTGTTTATTTGCTGCCTTCAAAAGGCTCTAGTAAGGGTTAAGACTAGCTTGTCGCAAAACAGGCAGCAGTGCTGTGAAAAGGCTGGTTTAAAAACTGAAGGAGAAATATAATTAGCTAGATGAGGGCTTAGCAGCAGGTGCTAATAAGTGCGCTGCTTTCTCTGACTATGGCTATGTGGGCCAGTTCCTGTTATCAGTAGTGCAATCGGGTGTTCATGGTGCTAAACCACTCCCAAAACATGAACCTTTGAGATTTTAATACCAAACTTTGGTTTGGGGTCCTAGAGCATTTTCTTCTGGATTTTGGCTATGGTATTTTTGCCCTTATTTAGGGGTCTTCTCCATGTGATTTGTGCTCAGTACTCACTTCGATGCTGTCAAATTTTCCCACATCTCTGAGACTGCATTAGAGTGAATTAAGCCATTTTAGCCCTTGATTCTTTATTTTAATCTCTCTTTTTAAAAAGCTGTAAGAAAACATCTGAAAGATGCTAGAAGTTGTGTTTCTATTTGACTGCAAAGTGGTTACTTGTCACAAGCAAAATGTCTTCTTCATCTGTACTGTTCAGATGCTTAAGAGATGAAAACTTACACATGCAGATGTAAATCTGTAGGCATTAAACAGAAAGATTGTTGTGCATAGAAAAGACAAGGGTTTGCCCCAGCAGAATGAACTGCCTTCAGAGTAACTGGCAGAAGAAGCTGAAGCAGGTGGTTGCTTTATTGCTGGGGGCTGAAGCTATCCTGGGAGCTGAGGGTCTCCGTCAGCCTTACCTTATTTTTGTCTGGTTTTTGTGTTATTTTTAGTTCTTAATCTCAGCTGTGTCTTTTGCCATTTTAAATTGCAGCATGTAAGAAGCTAGTGGCTCTGATAAGACAACTGCAGTTTGCTAATAGCACTTCCTCACATAGTATTAAACATTATTTAATGTCATGGGGTTGGTGGGACTGTTGGGAGCATGTTGCAGTGTTGCCAAGGCAGCGCTGGCAGGGCTGTCCTGGTCTGGCTGGGGCTGCCCCGCTGTGGGGACAGGATGGACCTGCTTGCCAGCGCTAGCTTTGGGCTGGGCTCTTGTCCTGGTGGGGCAGAGAAAGGAGCAGAAGTCATCAGCTGGGAAGGAGTGTTGCTCTTGCTAGACCAGGTTAGGACAGACAGACAGCTGGGAGGGGTCAAGGACCAAGACTCTTCCTGAGTCTCACGTCCCAGGGAGGGTTTCCTAAACATTGTGGGGAGATGCACAGCGTGCCCCCCTGCAGCAAGTGTTGAGGGACCCAAATACGAGGGAGGAGGTTGACTGCCCCCTCCATGTGCCCCCCTGCCACTTCAAACATTTCCTGAGCTCTTTCAGGATCTGGCAAGATTTGCTTCCCTACAGGGCATCTGATCCATGCTACTCTGCACAGCATAAACTGGGTGCAAGAGAGAGACGTGCCTTTAATATTTTCTTTCTTTTCTTTAAATATTCTTACCTGCTTCATCTACAGTGTCAGTGCAAGGCTATGCACTGTGTTAGGACACAGAAGACCTTCTATCTTCTCTGTGTAAAAGCAGGGAAAAGAGCTGGTTTGGGTTTTAGGTTTGTTTGTGTGAATCTCATCTTTCTCACTCCTGTGATCGAAAAATTAATATTTTTCAAATAAAAGCTGTTTACTTTTTTCTTCTTTAAATAAATAATAATAATAAAAAAAAACACATCAGCTTTTCAGATACCTTCCCCTTCCCTCCAGATGAGTAGCTTAGCTATTGGAAGTACTAATTGCCCCCAGTTCCCACCAGAGGCAATAGCCTGGTAAACAGCATGGTAAATGCTGTCCAGACAGGACAGAATATTTTTATACGCTTAATTCCAGACTTGGAGTGGTGGGGGAGGCTTGTTTGTTCCTGGGTTATTTTTATGGTCTTATAATTGAACTCTGCTTCATGATTTGGGTGAAAAGTGTTCCTCCCGTGTACTTCAAGGCTCAGAGCTGAGCCAAAAAAAGACATCCCAGGGAACAGTCGAAATGGCATCTTGTGAAAATGGGGATTTTAAATTAAGTTTAGTTGGCCACGGTACTGCACCCCAGTACTTCTTTCTTGTCCTGTCTCTAGGCTCCAGTGGAAGCTTTTCTGTTTGTTCCTCACTCCCACTTTGTGTTTATATGTGTGTATGTTGCAGACCCCTGAGTGGCTGGATAGTGACTCCTGTCAAAAATGTGACCAGCCTTTCTTCTGGAACTTCAAGCAAATGTGGGACAGTAAGAAAATAGGCCTCAGGCAGGTTTGTATGCATCCTTTGGTGTGTTAGCATGGTTCAATTAGGCTTTTTTCTCATAAAGGTTCATGGTAACCTTTTTTCCCCTAAAGCCTTGAGAACTTGCACTTTGTGCTTCCACTGAGTGCTTGATAGTGGGACAGTGGGCTGCCCTTTGATGAGGCTTGATTTTGTGGTTAGGCGGAACACACTTCTTTTTTCTTCTATTTATTTTTCCTTTTTGTTTTGGTTTGGGTTTTGTTTTGAAGCCAGTCCCAATAGCAAATGCATGTAATAGGCCTTGGGCTGAGTAATTTGGTTTTGGGCCTTCAATGGCTTTAACCATGTGGGATTTTGCTTGTTGTTAGTTGAATGTGTTGCGGAAAGAAATTCACAGCTGATTTTTGGAGATTGTGCTGGACCCAAAGCTGTTTTCAATGAGGTTGAGTAAACATCTGTAACTGCTCATGCTGTGTTGGAAAAGGCGGATGGGTCTGCTTGGAACACGCTGCTGTGTTTTCCTGCCCAGCAGAAGAGGCCTGCGGATCGCAGACTTTTGGGAGAAGGATGTAAAAATGCTGAAAGGGCTGTTCTCATCGAGCTTGGAGAAGTCAGGTTCTGGGGCAGAGCTGAGCTGCAACTTCTCTTTATGTAATGCTCATCACCGCAGAGCCTGGCTCTCCTGTGGCCGGCAAGGCAGCCTTGCAGTCCTACACAGCCGCTGTGTGAGAAAACGTGAGGCGGGTAGCATCAAAATGCAGAAACGCTAGTGCTTCTGGGGCTGAAAATGGCCAAAGGAGTTGACCAAGGTGATTAGGTGGTAGGTGTTTATACTTAGAGGCTGCGATAGGACTCCAGAATGACACTACACTAAGGTAGTCCTGCCCTACTTTGACCTGGAGATGTCTCGGTGTGTCACATGCTGCCGAGAGGTAGTGTTATCCCCTACACCCCCAAAATGGGACTTCTAGGGACAGGGGAAAATTACAGCTCCCAGCCCTGTGACAGATGACTGGCTGTCTGGGACACATCTTCTGGGTGCATAGTGGGGCTCTTTGTCCTGTCCTCCTGTCTTGGTGTCAGGACCACCACC